GGAACTTCCTACATAGATCAGGCTGGCCTTGAACTCACAGAGATCTGCACCTGCCTCTTACTCCTGAGTGCTAGGACTAGAGTCATATGCTGCCAGACCTAGCTTCATCTGGACACTTAAGACAGACAAGATAAAAAGAAACCCTGGTTGTCACTTGGACTGGGAGTGCCATCCAAAATCGGTACTGCTTGTCTATAATGCTGAATTCATAACACTCCAATTGCTTGGATCTGAGCCTAAGCCAAAACTTGCTACTGTCTGCTGGTCGCAGTTATCCCATTCTAACTTAATGGTTTTAGGGCTTGTCTCCAAATACAGTCATATTATGATGTATTTGAAGTGGTTAGAGCTTCAGCATAGGTATTGGGGGAATGATATGGTTCAGTCCACAGCGCATCATTACCAGGTTACCAGTTCTTGAAAGCATTTTTCTGATTAAGTTGTATACAAGTGTTATCTGAAAAAGAAAAAATGCTTTTGTGTCTTTTGCATATAACCCTTTCCAGATGAAAGGCCTGAGAGATCACTGAAGAAAATGAGAAGTTGAGATTGCTGAATGGGGCATACCGATTCTGTGATACTAGAGAAAAACTAAAAGCCCAGCCTGGGGAGCTGGAGCTTTGTTTTCATGACTATTCCTGGAAGTGTTGCCCATTTCCTAGAGGAAAACTCCCAGTGCTGCCGTTCCATGCACTTGATTCATCTAGCCGAGTGCAGAGGGGACCCAACTCCAGTGCTCTCATAAAGAACACCTTTCTGTGGATGGGCACACATATCACAAACAAGGGGAACTGTTTGCAACTCACTGCCTCAGGGACCTTGAGAAACAAGTGCTCCAGGAACTAGCAGACAGGACAGGAAACACAGGGCAGGAGGCCCTATAACGGAACTGCTGCATACAGAGAAAGGCCAAGTGGTAGGAAGGGCCTACTCTCTCTCTCGCTCTCTCGCTCTCTCGCTCTCTCGCTCTCGCTCTCTCTCTCGCTCCCTCGCTCTCGCTCTCTCTCTCGCTCTCTCTCTCACTCTCAGCTCTCGCTCTCGCTCTCGCTCTCTCTCTCGCTCTCTCTCTCGCTCTCTCTCTCACTCTCGCTCTTGCTCTGACCAGACAGGGTCTCAGTCTTGGAGGGCCTCTGGGTGAGCTTCCACGTGCTGGCTGGAGTGTGCTGTGTGCACTAAAAGGGTCCCCATAGCAACTTTCTTGAGATGGACTTGAACTTGCTAAACCTAGGCTCCCTGACAGGCATAACTGAGGTCTATACTCTAGGCTGGTCTCACATTAAAAAACTTTTGTGTGTGATGGGTGTGGTGGCATGCACCTTTAATCCCAGCACTGGGGAGGCAGAGACAGGAGGATCTCTGTGAGCTCAAGACCAGGCTGCTCTATATAGTGAGTTCAAGGCTAGCCAGGGGCTATATAATGAGACTTTGTCTCAAAGATTTTTTTATTACATCTATTTGTGTGTGTGTGTATGTGTGTGTGTGTGTATACATGTGGAGGTCAGAGAACAACTGTGAGAATCTGTTCTCTCCTTATATCACATGGTTATGTGGGTCCGACAGATCAAACTCAGGTCCTCAGGCTTGGTGGCAAGCGCCTTTACCCACTGAGATCACAGTGGCCCTGGTCTCATATTTTTGCAAGGGATCCTACTGATAGTAGTGATTTTTGCTGTAAGGAGCTTCAGCCAGGTTGCTCAAGACTGCCGTTGATAGAAAGACCTGTCTGGAAGGACTGGGAATGTAGCTCAGTTGGTAGAGTACTTGCCTAATATGCACGAAGCACTAAGTTCTAGCCCCAGCACCACATAAACCAGGCGTGATAGCACACACCTGTAATCCCAGCAGTCAGGAGGTAGAAGTTCAAGGTTGTCCTCAGCTGTAGCCAGTTCAAGGCCAGCTTGGGATACATGAGATTCCTATCTAAATAAAAACAACAAAACGGGCTAGAGAGATAGCTCAGTAGTTAAAAGCACCGGCTGCTCTTGCAGAAGATCAGGGTTTGAATCCTAGCACCCACATGGTAGCTAACAACCGTCCATAACTCTAGTTCCAGTGGATCTGATACCTTCTGGCCTCCACCAGCATTGCACTATACGGGTACACTTACATACATGCAGGCATAACACTCATACACATAAAAATAAAATAACAAAACTAAAGACAGTCTACAGGGTTGGCTCTGAGCTGACATCTGGAGCTTGGCTTTCAGGAAACTTCTCACCATCCCTAAGGGGTAAGAATGGCTCACTGTGCTAAAACAATGGGGCTTATGCTGAACCCCTCCTTTCTCCCTGGGAGTTTAGAATTCTGGTACCTTATGCAGGGATGGGCTCTGCGCCCTTCTTTCTGAGTGTTCCTGGTACATGGCCTCTCCCTTGGGTTGTCACAGCTCATGGCTGAGGAGTGACTGCATTGGGAAAGGGCTGGGCCATTTGTGCCTGCTTTCTCCTGGAATTTGCCCCACACACCTTTTTCCTGTGCAGCTTTTGCTTCATGACTGTTCACTGTAACAAACCACAGCTGTGAACATAACTATCTGCCCAGTGTTGTGACTAGGTTGGTGGAGTCACTAAGTGGGAGGTGGTACTAGGGACCGAACGCAGTCACCAAGGGAACTTCTGGAATGTTGGTAGTGTCTTCTTTCTCACTCTGGGTACTGTTAGACCATATGTATTCAGTTTGTGAAAACTCACTGAGGTGTACAATTATAACCAGACCACTTCCATAAATATACTAAATTTCAATAAAAAGTTCAAATAAGGCAGAGGTGGTGGTGCACCTTACTATCAGCATTTGGCAGCTGAAGCACGAGGACTGTTAAATTCAAAGCCGGTCTGAGCAATTTAGTGATGCTATCTCAAAGTAAAAATGTTTAAGGTGGGGAAGGGTGCTGGGTAGATGGATCAGTGGGCAAAGCATTTCAAGTGAGTTGGATACCAGAACCCACATAAAGGTTGGGTGCAGTAGCACATGCATCAGTAATCCCAGCACCCTTAGGGGAAGATGGGAAGTGGAGACAGGAGGCTCTCCAGAAGCTGGCAGGCCAGCCAGTCTGGCATAAGCAGCGGTGAACAAGAGAGGCCCTGCCTTAAACCAGGAGGAGGGCCAACATCTGAAGTTGTCTTGTGACCTCCCATGGGTGCCTGTACTCACAGATGTTCATATGCACAAACACACACAAACACATACACGCATAAAAAAATAAAATGGCCGAGGATATATCTCAGTAGTAGAGTGATTGCCTAGCATGCAAGAGACCTTGGGTACTGAAAGAAAGTCATGTTGGAATCCAGCTTGACAAGCCGCCTCTCAGATACTAACAGGCACCTGGCTGGGACACTGTGAGCCTCCAGCTAGCAGACTTTCCAGTGACAGGGCATCCTACCAGTAAAGTGAGTTTACATCAAAGGGGTGCCGCATTCTGCTCCCCACCCCTTCCCTGCCTCCTGCCTGGGAACCTCCCCCACCCTCACATAGTATAAGAGTATAAGAGCCCCTTTACCACATGAATGCCACCTCTGCAGCAACCCCACCATGCTGTCTCTCTGGAGCTGGGGCCTGAACTCTCAGAACCTCTGCCATGCTGTTGCCCATCTGTTTGTCAATAGTGTTAATAATGTGTCTAATAAACTCTTTAGTCCCCAATAATCCATCTCAGTGTCCTGTTTAAAACCTAACAGATTCAGTCCTCAGTACTGCAAACAAAACAATACAAATGGAAGTTCAAATAAAAGATTACACACAACTGGGATAAATGTTTTGTACAGTGTTGGGAATGGAACCCAGGACTTTGGGTATGGTAGGCAAGTGCTCTACAACGGAGCTACATTCCCACCTCTGTGCCCAATAACTTTTTTTTTTGAAACAAGGTGTCACTATGTAGACCAGGCTGGCCTCAAATTCAGATTTGCCTGTCTCTGCTTCTGATGTGCCACCATGTCTGGCAAGCTTAATTTAAAAAAAAAATATATATATATAGTATTTATTATTTTTATGTGTATGAGTGTATTGCCTGAATGTCTGTAAGTGCACCCATGTTGGAGGACAGAAGAGGACGTTGGATCCCTTGGAACTGGAGTTACGACCATGTGGGTGCTGGGAACTGAACCCAGGTCCTCTGTAAGAGCAGCTAGTGCTGTTAACCGCTGAGCCATGTCTCCAGCTCTAAGCTTAATTTTTTTAAAAAAGCCGGTCTTTCTCTTATTTGGAAAATATTTAGTAAGATTCCTTTTTTACAAGGCGTTGTTTTGTGGCCTTGGGAAAAGACAACAGCTTTGCCATTGGCCTTTGGTATGTAGCCGAGGCTGGCCTAGAACTCACTGTGTAGACAAGTTAACCATGTAACCTTGAACTCACAATCCGACCTCAGCCTCTCCGACTTTACCTCCCCAAGGAGCCCCCAGGTGATGGTGATGGAGTAGGCTTGCGCAGTAACAGAGGGGCTGGGGGCAGCTATTATTGGAAAGAGAGGGCCTCGAGGACTCGCTAGGAAGGTGCGTGTTTGACTGTCGAGGGTGCTGGTTTTGCTCTGATTTCAGTTTATTCAGGCCAGCCTGGCAGCAGACGGTGGAGCCAGGGCTCTCCCAAGCTATGCCAGGCTTCCTAGGCCTAGCTCTGCTCTAGAAGGCTGGCTGGGGTGCAGGACAGTGCCAGGAGGGCTCGTGAAGCACAGGTGAACCGTATGTGCATCCCCGGCTAAGCAGACAAACCAGAGCGAATCACTGGGGCTCCCGGGCATGGAGCCGGGCTTGTTTTCCCAGGCTAGTCCACGGGTCAGCGCTCTTCAAAACCCTGCCTGTGCGATCTGCGCACCACTGGACCAGGTTTAAAGGCGGCTGCGCCGGGCCGAGCGCTCCCATGTTGCCTCGCGGCGGGCGAGTTTGGATTTTAAATCCCCGCGGCCAATCAGTGGCGCGCAGGCTCTTGTAACGTTCCCAGCGCCGCGTTTGAATTCCGGGAGGAGCGAAGCCGGGCTGAGCCCTCTGCACCCTCCCTGCCAGGTCCGCCGAGCAATTTCGGGAGCATGAATGCAGCTGCGAAAGCAGGAAAGCTGGCCCGAGCACCAGCCGACCCAGGGAAAGCCGGGGTCCCGGGGGTTGCGGCTCCAGCGGCCAGCCCGGAGATCCCCGAGGTCCTAGTGGACCCACGCAGCCGCCGGCAGTATGTGCGGGGTCGCTTCCTGGGCAAAGGAGGCTTCGCCAAGTGCTTCGAGATCTCAGACGCAGACACCAAGGAGGTGTTCGCGGGCAAGATCGTGCCCAAGTCTCTGCTGCTCAAGCCCCACCAGAAGGAGAAGATGTCCATGGAGATCTCCATTCACCGCAGCCTCGCACACCAGCATGTTGTGGGCTTCCACGGCTTTTTCGAGGACAGTGACTTCGTGTACGTGGTATTAGAGCTCTGCCGCAGGCGGGTGAGTGTCTCTGTTGAGGGGCTGGAGCTGCTTGGGGACTCGGGTTGGGGCGGCCACCCCGGGAACTGCTGGGAGGGGTTCGCCCGCCGAGGGACGCCGGGGCTTTGGAGTTGCTTAGAGCAGTTTGGAGCTAGCGGCTCCTGGATGCGAGGCATGTGTGAGTAATGGGTACGGAAGCTCCGGAGTTGCTAGAAAAAGGGGTCCTGCACTAGGTCCCGCGGACCGGGAGCTTCCGCAGTGGGTCTCTGTCTGGGAGGGGGTGGTTTGAGCCAGACCTCAGAGCTTCAGGAGAAGTGAGGAAGGCCCAGGAAGGGGGATCCAGAGTGGAGTTGAGGGCTCTGGGTAAGGAGAGGGTCCTGCTCGGGCAGAAGCTGAAGTTGGAATTGGGAGGAGGCATAGGGAAGGGCACAAACCTACCTGCCAAGCCCCTCTTCCCACCCCTTGAGGGCCTAGTCCTGGGGCTCAGTACCACCTCCCCACCTCCACAGTCTCTCCTGGAGCTGCACAAGAGAAGGAAAGCACTGACGGAGCCTGAGGCCCGCTACTACCTGCGACAGATTGTCCTGGGCTGCCAGTACCTGCACCGGAACCGGGTCATTCACAGGGATCTCAAGTTGGGCAACCTCTTCCTGAACGAGGATCTGGAGGTGAAAATAGGTGAGATGCTGGGCCTGCCAGGGACTAGGTGACCCAGGAGGAACCGGAGACTGGGAGGGAGGGTGGAAGTGGAGAGGTGCCTGTGCTGCCCTCCAGAAAACCCCTAGTCCAGAAATGTGAGGACCCCAGTCAAACTGCTGTCTTCAAGGCATTGTTTGTACCTCAACACAGTATAATTTTAGTTTAGGTGTGTATGGGGTTGCCTCAGAATACTAGGCTAGCCTCTAGCACTGAGCCATGCTCTTCAGCCAGTTTCTGGTTACATTGGAGGCTGGGCAAAGCATTTTTTGTCTGGAGCATCCTTATAAATGCAGACAGCATTCCCTCAATGTGTCTACTGCACTGAAAAGTGCCTGTCCTCCTAAGATTCTGGTTTGCCACAGTCATCTACTTCCATACCCCCTTAGTTCTTCTCAGACTTACAATTCGCCCTCATGGAGATTATTTATTTGCTTGATGCCTGAAATTCTGCTGTTCCTGAACTCTCCTTTTAGAAGCCTGCTTGCTTTCTTCCTCCTCTTCCTCTTCCTCTTCCTCTTCCTCCCCCTCCTCCTCCTCCTCCTCCTCCTCCTCCTCTTCTCCCTCTTCCTCCTCCCCCTCTTCCCTCTCTCCTGGTGCATGTGTTTTGAATTACATGTGGGGGGCACATGCCACAGTCCACTCATGGAGGTCAGAAGACCACTTGCAGAAGTCAGTTTCCTTCTATTGTGTGGGTCCTGGGATCAAACTCAGGTTGTCAGTCTTGGAGACACACCGTCTTTACCTACTGAGTCATCTCACTGGCCCCCTATGGCTCCTTCCTAAGCCTACAGCTGCTTCCTAAGGTGAGGATGCTAAAAGGCAGTGGGAGGCTAGCCTGGGCCAGCAAGGTAGCGGGTTCAGGGAGCAGAGGCTGTGGGCTCTCATGGCTCTGGCTCTGGATGGTTGGGTCTGAGGTAGCTGTCTGCAGTGACAGATGTCAGGGCTGGCATCTTAGCATCTCTTCCTCTTCCCTCTGTCTCAGGGGATTTCGGACTGGCAACCAAAGTGGAATATGACGGGGAGCGGAAGAAGACTCTATGTGGCACTCCTAATTACATCGCTCCTGAGGTGCTGAGCAAGAAGGGGCACAGTTTCGAGGTGGATGTGTGGTCCATTGGATGCATCATGTAAGTTGGGAGTAGTCTCAGTAGCTGTTGGGCCTCAGCAGGGGCTTTTTGAGAAGTCTCACCCAGTCAACTTTACCTTCTGTATCTTTCTCCCTTATGGAAAGGCTGTTTCAGACGACAGGATGCCCCAAGATGAAGCCCTATTTCCATGTTTTCTTGTTAGACTAGAATTCCTACAGCTTGGGCCATGGGTCCAGAGAAGGGAACAAGAAGGCCTCTATACTTTTAATTTTTAAAAGATTTTATTTATTTAATGTGTCTGAGTGTTTTGCCTGCATATATTATAAGTGCACCCATGTCATGTAGTGTCCACTGAGACGAGAAGAGGGATTCGCCTGGAAATAGAATTACGGATTGTTGTCAGCCGTCATATGAGGGATGGGAACTGAATCTAGGTCTTCTGCAAGAGTAGCCAGTGGTCTTAACTACTGAGCCATCTCTCCAGCCTGGCGTCTACACTCTTGCTCCAGCCCCTTACTACTCACTCAAAGCATTCACAGACTGATGTCATCAACACCTGGGAGCTTGTTAGGAATGCCCAGTCTCAGGACCCAAGTTCCTTACTAGATCTGAGTCTGGGTTTTAACATGATCCTTGGCAGACTCCCCATAAAACTTCGGAAGCACTAGTGAGCACTGGGTGGGCCAGGAGTTAGATTGGCACGGGAGGTGAGTGTGGCCTGGGGATCCAGCCCGTAGACAGGCCTGGTGGTAGTCAGAGACTTGGGCCTTTGTGAATGTCATCACTTTTGTTGGCTTACATACTGGTGAGTTAGGCCTGTGCTGTAGCACTGGCTTTGGTACTCTACAGTCCACTTTCCCCTACCCCATAGAAGCTATAAGCCTTAAGTGCAGGACTGGCAGACTGGAGCTTCTATAGGGAAAGGCAGCCCACCTACCTTGGCCTCTTGGAGACAGTGATAGCCTCTGGGGCCTTTGGAGAGTCCTCTATCACTGCAGGCCAGAATTGGCAATCCCTGGCCCCTTGGAATCCAGGTGTTGTCACCTGTGTTCTGCTGAAGGCATGTCCTGGCCATTCGCTCCTGAGGCTGCTAGGCAGACTTAAGCTGTCCTCACACATTCTAGCCAATGAGTTCAAAGAATGTCTCCGCTTCCTCTGGCCCTGAGGTGATAACTTCTGCATCTGGGGTTGCTGGGAGACTTGAGTGAAATCTTTCCTTATACTTACAGGTATACCTTGTTGGTGGGCAAACCACCTTTTGAGACCTCATGCCTGAAAGAGACCTACCTCCGGATCAGGAAGAATGAATACAGTATCCCCAAGGTGACTGTAGTACTTCATGTTTCAGTTCATTTTATTTTTCCCTCAAAGCTGTTCACTGATCCCAGCTATGTCCTAGGGATAGTTGGGTCAGTCCTACCCCTAGTGTAGCCACAGAGCTTTCGAATGATGTATATCTGAAGGCTGGCCTGGAGCTTACTATGTAACCAGTTTGAACTTCTGATCCTGCTGCCTCCACCACCTGTTGAGATTAAAAGCATATACCACCATACTGATTTCATGTTTGGGATCGAATTCAGCACTTTGTGCATGATTGGTAAGCACTCTACCAACTAAGTTTCATATATTCCAGCCCATCTTTAGAAGTCTTGAAGGTAGATTTAAAAGATAGATTCTGGGCATGACCACACATTCATTTAATCCCAGTACTTAGGAGGCAGAGGCAGGTATATCCCTGTAAGATCAAGACCAGCCTATTGTTCTACAGTGAGTTCCAGGCCAGCTGGGGTTACAGGGAGACCCTGTTTTAAAAGAAAAACAAAAATAAAAACAGCTATGTGAAGAGCAGGGAGAAAGAAAGGAGGGATTAGAGAGCAGATGTGCTTAAGCTCTAGACAGGGGCCATCCCCATTCAGATGGACTGTGCTTTTAAATTTTTATTCATTTTTTAATTTTTATATGTATGTTTTGCCTGCATACATGTAAGTGTACTTGTGTGTGCAATGTCTGTGGAGGCCAGAAGGTGGTGTCAGACACCCTGGAACTGAAGTTATGAACCACTGTTAGCTGCCATGTCAGGGCTGGGAACCAAACCCAGATCCTCTGCAAGAGCAGCCAGTGCACTTAACCGCTGAGCCACCTCTCCATCCCCGACTGTGGCAATGGTCTGACTCCTGACCCAGCTTCCCATGTGTAAAATGGAATTACTGCTTCTGGTGTTCCTCCAAGGGCTTCCCAATGACAAAGTAGCATCCATTTTCATAATGTCATAAATGTACTTAAACGGATAACCCAAAACTAGGCGTGGTAGCATACGTCTTTAATCCCAGCACTTAGGAGGTAGAGGCAGGTGGCTCTCTGAGTTCAAGGCCATCCTGGTCTACATAGCAGGTTCCAGGGGCTTCAGGAAGACCCTGTCTCAAAAAGGAAAAAGAAAAAAAAAAAAAGGCCATTTCTGGGGAAACAGGGTATGTGGCCACTTTAACTTTGGTATCTGTGACGTGTGTAAAGCCAAGAGAGCCAAGAGCCCAGTCTCTGCAAGGGCTGTTGGAATAGATGCATCATGAATTGTCAGTTCACTGTCAGACAACATGCAGTGCTCAACTGCTTGGGTGTATTAGCATTATTATTTGCCATGTTCTGAAACAAGGCTCTTTCCTCCTCCAAATCTGCTTCTAGTAGAGATGCCCATACCTGCAGTCCTAGCACTTAGAAGGCTGAGGCAGAAGGGCTGCAAGTTCCAGGTCAGCCTCAGCTACATTATTGAAACCTTGTCTGAATTCAAAATAGAGAGTGAGGTGACCCTTCATGTGCTTTTTGAGGAAAAGTGAGTTAATATACAGGAATACCTGGCATTTAATAGGTATAGAGGTAATACTGGGCTGTGACTAACTGGCCTGTGCTGGATTTTATCCCATTAAATCATCTTGGTGGGTTCCCAGCATGGTGCCCTCCATTTTAAACATCTGTAAACAAAGGCCCTAGAAAGTCCAGGTTACTTGCCACAGCTGGTATCCAGGGGCAGAGCTAGGATTTGAACACAGGTCTTGGGACTCTGAAGCCTGTGTTCTTAGCTGATCCTCTAGTGGTATATAACTTTAAATGCTTTTGCCAGGGTAAAGCAGGGGTGGGGGAGGTATCCCAAGTTACTCTTGAGTGCCAAGTGGGAGGAAAGCATCCTCAGCACTCAGGGTGATAGAAGTGGAGGATCTGGTGCTGCTTATGGTTGCTGAGCTGTAGTATGTTTACACCAGAAGCAGCCTTATGTGGGCTGGGGTCCCTGCCACATCCTACCTAAGGCTCTGCCTTTCTGCTCCAGCACATCAACCCCGTGGCCGCCTCCCTCATCCAGAAGATGCTTCAGACAGACCCCACTGCCCGCCCCACCATCCATGAGCTGCTCAATGACGAGTTCTTCACATCTGGCTACATCCCTGCCCGTCTCCCTATTACCTGCCTCACCGTCCCACCACGATTTTCCATAGCTCCCAGCAGCCTGGACCCCAGTGGCAGGAAGCCTCTCACCGTCCTCAATAAAGGTAAAGATGGTTCTGAGAGAGATTGATACCAGAGAGCCCAGGCTCATGGGCTGCACTGACTTAGTGCCTGGGCCCTGAAGTGAGACAGGCTCCTGGCCCTGTTCTGTCCCCAAGCCCTTTTGCCCCTTGGTTCTGTCAGGAAAGTCAACCTTAACATGGCTAAATCAGCCCACTGGGCCCAAAAAGGAGTGAATGAACTGAACACCAAGCCAAGATGATTCTTTTTGCTCACTTTAAGAAGAATCTAACATCTCTCTTTCATGGTTCATTGAAAAAGTTGGAAATTTTCAGATCCACACATACCGTAGTGGTGTCCATCTTCACATCACCCCACTCGCCCTGTGTCTTACCACATTCAGTATTACCAAGATTTTGACACCTTTGCTTCATGTACCCTTTGTTGTTCCTTTGAAGTGCTTTTGTTTTGTTTTGTTCTGAGAGAGTCCATAGTTGTGTAAGTTAAACTCAATTCTCCTGCCTCAGCCTCCTGAGTAGTTGAATAACAGGCATACATACAGCCACCACATCAAGCTTTTGAGATGTTAGTACAGCTAGCTCCACAATCTCTCATCTTACCCTTTTAAAATAAAGTCTGTCTCTAAAAAAATGGATATTTTCTTTGAAAGCTATAGGACCACATGTCCTTGCCTTTGTTTCTAGATTTTCATAGATCAGAATTAGGAGATAGTGTTTGTTAGGAATCCTTATATTTATGATATTTCTGATTCACATTGTTTTAATATTTTGATATTAGTCCAAGCTCCTGAAAAGGTAGAATAAACAGAAAACTCCTGTACTCTCTCTTTCTCTAACCATTTGAGATTCAGTTGTTCCTTACTCTTAGTACTTCAGTGTGTTTCCTAAAACAAACACTCCTAGTTAACAGTGCATGGCAGACAATTTCAGGACCTATGACATTAATCCCATGTTTTATAACAGTCTTTCTTATACCATGAAGTTATTCATTCTCTCTCTCCCTCCCTCCCTCTCTCTCTCTCTCTCTTCCTTCTCTTTCGAGGCAGACATACTATGTAGCCAAGGCTGACTTCTAACTTGAAATCCTCCTGCCTCGCCTTTCCCAGTGCTGGGATTATAGAAGTGTGTCTCTGCATTCAGCTTGATGATTTATTTTCTTGCAGTTCTATTTTTCCTATTATTATTATTATTATTATTATTATTGGTCTTTTTGAGTCCGGTCTTTTTGGATGACCTGCAGCTTCAGCTGGCCTAGAACTCACTGTGTAGACCAGGGTGGCCTTGAACTCATAGAGTTCTGCCTCTGCCTCCCAAGTGCTGGGTGGAACTAAGGCATGTGCCACCATGCCCAGCTATTATTATTTTTTATGTGTATGAGTATATTGTTCATATGTATGTAAGTGCACCCTTGTCGTGCAGTGCCTGTAGAGGTCAGAAGAGGGTGTCAGATCTCCTGGAACTGGAGTTACAGGCAATTATTAGCTGCTATGTGGGTGCTGGGAACCCAACACAGGAGCAGCCAGTGCTCTTAACCACTGAGCCATCTCTCCAGCTCCAGGACATAAAATCTTATGAAAGAAGTAGCTTGAAGCATTTGTTTCTCTGTGTCGAAATATTACCAAATTTATTATACATTAAGTTCACCTGTCTCAATTAGGTTTCAATTTTTAGGGATAATTTGGGGTCATTTTGCTTTCCTTTTGGTGATTTGAGACAGGGTCCCAGGCTGGCCTTGAATTCCCAAGTTCTAGGCTCACAGGTGTGTGTCATTGCACCTGGCTGGATGACTTGGTTTTTATTTTGGAATAATTTCAGGTTTACTTCAGAGTTACCAAACAGGAACTGGAGAGATAGCTCAGCAGTTAAGATCACTGGCTGCTCTTGTAGAGAACCTGGGTTTGGTTCCCAGCACACACTTGGTATCTAACAATTGTCTGTCACTCTAGTTCCAGGAGATCCAATGCCCTCTTCTGGTCTCCAGGGGCTTTCTACGACACAGGTGCACTTACATACATGCAGACAAAACATTTCCACACATAAAACAAAATTCTTTTTTTAAAGTTACAAAACAGAGCAGCGTTCCCATGTGCCCTTCACCTGGCTTACTCCAGGGTCATCTTTTCTTAATCATAGAATAATTACCAAAACTCAGACATTAACCTTGAGATAATCCTGACAAACTTCAGCTCTCACTTGGATTGATCGAATTTCCTAACTAATGCCCCTTATCCTGTGCCAGGATATGATTCAGGACCCCCACATGGCACATGGCATTTAGTGACATTGACTCCTTAGTTTCCTCCAACCTGTTTTTGCTCTTCTCTGTGACATGATACTTTTAAAGGGCACTGGTGAGTTATTTCCTATTGGATTTGATGTTTCTTCATGATTGTATCAAGGTTCTGCATCTTGGGTAAGAATATTGTAGAATGGATGCGTTCTTCTTAGCGTGTTGAGTCAGGAGAAATGTTGGTTTTGTTTTTAAGGTGTATGTGTGTCTAGCTATCTCTCTGCCTGCCTGTCTGTCTGTCTATCTTATCTATGTGTTGGTGTGTGTGCATGAGTGCAGGTGCCCAGAGTCCGCAAGAGGCATTGGTCTCCTGATGGAGTTACAGGTGATTGTGAGTTTCTGGACATGGGTGCTGGAAACCAAAGCCTGGTCCTCTGCAAGAAGAGCAGGCACTCTTTACCACTAAGCCACCTCTCCAGCCCCTTGATTTTTCTCTTACTTCGTTATGTGACATCAGTGGGTCTCTCTACTGCAAAGTTATGGTTCTCTTATTTAATCAGTGTCTTGTAGGGAACTGCTTTCAAAACTGTTTCATCTTAAACTGTTGCCCACTAATTTTAGCACCCACAGTTGAATCTTGCCTCCAACAATTATTATCCTTGTAGTTTTTCTTTTTCTTGAAATGTTTCATGTAGCCAAAGGTGACCTTGAACTTGTGCTCTTCCTGCTTTCACCTCCCTGGTGCTGGGATTACAGGATTGCACCACCATGCTCAGTTTATGCTATAATGGAGTAGAACCCAGGGCCTTGTGCATGCTAGGCAAGCACTCTACCAAATGAGTTACCTTCCTAGCCTCTTGGTCTTTTTCCTTTGTTTTCCTTTACTCTTTTGTGGTGCTGTGGTTAACCCAGGGCTTCAAGCATGCTATTGAATGATGTTTCTCCTTCCTAGCTTATTGAGACTCTGCTATAATGAATGACTGCCCCCTCTCTCCCATTTTCTTATTTTGTTATTCATGCTAGTGACTTATTCCTGGATTTCTATCTTATTTGGGGCGGGGGGAGGCTATGAATAATACTGCTATTTTAAGGGTTACTTTATTTTCTTTTGGTTCTGATTCTGAACGTGTAGGATTAAGAAAAAGAAAACAGTTTTATAGAAATTTTCAAGCCTGCCCAAAGGTAGAGAGAATCGTATGATGAATCCCTGTGTATGCCTCCTCCACTTCCCATAGTTTGGTAACTATTTGGACAGATTCGTTTTTTTTTTTATATTCTATAAACACTGTCTCTTTTTTGCTGGAGTTTTATAATCAGATCTTGAATATTATCACAGCATGGTAGTTTGTTTATTGAAAACTTAAGAAGAAATTCCTATTACCCAGGAAAAGTAGCAAGTTTTGGTTTGGGAAAATGAATCCTGCAAGCCTAAAGACAGTCAGAACCACCTGCGCTTCAATGTGCATCCCCTTAGACTCAGGTTATATAAGTGTGTAGAGCAAGACGTGGAGTGGAGCAGTCTCTTAGGCTTTTACGTAAAGGCCTATGGATCCATCCTGCCATGCAGTGTAGCTCACTCAGCCGTCCACCTTCCTGGATCCTTTCTTCTTTGCTTGAAATGGTGCAGTTCTGAGCTGCCAGTGCCTTCGGAGTGCCTCGTTTGAGTGACAGGTGGCTGTGGGTCAGAGGCCTTGAACACCTGAGCCTCTCTGCTGTTTGGTGAGCACCTCACACCTGTCACATAAACATGGCAGTTGCTGCACTAATAACCTGCCACTGACTTAGTTTCCTCAAAGCAATGGTGGCTAACAGAGTCCTCTGGAAGAGTACTGACCAGCAGATAGTCCAACGCTCTCTCCTCCATTGTGTGCCTGGCCAATGACCATGTCACCTTTCTGGGCACAGAGAACCCCCAGCCCGAGCGTCCACGGGAAAAGGAAGAACCAGTCGTTCGGGAGACTAATGAGGCGGTCGAGTGTCACCTAAGTGACATGCTGCAGCAACTGAACAGTGTCAACGCCTCCAAGCCTGCTGAACGAGGGCTGGTGCGGCAAGGTAAGTGCTGTGGGGCCTCAGGAGAAGGCAGGCCGGCTCAGCCAGCACGGGGCTGGGGCTGACCAGGCCTGTTTCTGTATGGTCTTTGCTTTGCTGCTTTCCTATGGACCAGGGTTAGCCTGACATCCAGAGCCCTCCATGATGTGGCTCAGGCCTTTTTCTACTCCAGCTCCTCTTGTAGGTAGCTGATAGGTCACCTCTCTATATCTGCACCTGCTGTGTCTTTGTTCTGCCCAGGGAGTTAATTCCTCAGTTCCCCAGAGATGCAGACCAGCTTTGGCCTCAGGGCTTTTGCATCCCCCTGAAATGCACTTTGTTCCTTTTCTAGCTCACAGGGTTTTTGGGTTTTGTTTTTAACTACTTCTTTATTTTTATTTTATTTATTTATTTTGGTCTTTTTGAGTTCATTCATTCAGCTAGTTATTTTAGCTCTTGCTAACCCTGCACTCACTAGTTAGCCCAATCTGGCTTGGAACTCATGTTCTTGCATGTGTGCCATCACTCCTGGCAGCATGCTGAACTTGTGATTAACATTTGAACAAATGACCCTATGTGTTAATTTGCACTGGGCCTTTAAGAAAGGAATCTTATCCACAGCTGGACACAGTGATGAGATCCTGTGTGCTGAATGTGAACTGAACGTCCACAATGGAATGACACATGGAAAAGCCACAGAAAGAACTCAATATAATTTTGAGTGAAGAAATGTATTTTTGAGCAAAGGACAGCTTCAAACTTTTCTTTGACTTCTATTTATAGATGTGATATATGCATGTGTGTTTGTGTGTGTGTGTGTCTGTCTGTCTGTCTGTCTGTCTGTCTGTCTGTC